ATTATTTTAGCATTGGTAAGCATAATTTCTTTAAAAAAAACAAGTCCAATAAATATAATGCATAAAAATTAAGGTAGTACACTAATATGCAATTCTGTATTGTACTGTGGGCACACTCACACACACGTAGAAATGATAGTATACTGTTCTGAACAATGTAATTTAATGTAAAACTAATACCGAACACTAACACTTTTATGTTTTCCATTTCAGTTCCAATTTATTTGATAGAAAACCTACAAAACGAATCAAAGTGACATTTGTTTTGCATTTATACAGTACTTTGTTGAAACTGATTCTAAGTCTCTGCTGTCCTTTGTGTCTGGTGTGAAGACTGAGGTCTGTTCTGTTGTGCTCCTGCTCTCCCTTTCCTCCTGCTTCTCTTTTTGAGGACAGATGGAGCGTCTTCTTCTGATGTCAGCTGTTCTTGTACCTGGTTTCCTGGCACTTCCTGTTTGGCTGTGTTCTTGCTCCTCTGAGACAGGGATGCATCCGCTGGCTCTTCTTTGACCTGTGCTGTTGGAGATGCTAGTTCGTCATCAGGACCGTTAATGGCAGGTTTTGCAGGGCTGGATTTGAGCTTCTTGTTTGGAGACGATCGGTGGGCGGAGGGACAGGTGTGCTGATTGAGACACACGGAGCACAGCGGAGCAACAGGCAAACACACCTGCTGCCCGAAACCAACCAGCAACCAGTTGATCTCACTCCACAGATCTCTGTGAGAAGAGAGAAGACGGGTAAAAATGGTACTTCAACGAAATTGTTGTGATGCTATCTTGCAGAGATGAACGTTCGCAACAACAGGACCGAAAATAGAGGTTACCGTGGCAACCACTCCTCGAGAGCTCTCCGCGTTTCCTCTGGCGTCTTGGTCTCCTTCTTGGTCCATCCGAGTCTGTTTGCGATTCGGTGAACGTGGGTGTCCACGCCTACACACACACACACACACACACACAATAACACTTAAAAGGAATAGTTCACCCAAAAATGAAATTTTGCTGTTAATTTACTCACAGGCCATTCTCATTTTTGAGAATAAAAAAAGCATATCAAGGAACACAAAATTAATATCGGTGGTTCCTGAAGATATATTGAGGTCTTATGAAGCAAAATGATCGGTCTGTGGAAGAAACTGAACATTATTTACAAAATTATTACCTGTAATCCAGAGCCTCAGGCAAACGGTGATGTCCAGCTCACGAACGAATCATTCTTTTGATCCGGTTCTTTTGGACTGAAGTGTCTGAAACAGTTCGTGACTCGAGCAGCACAGATCTACAGGTTACTCAATCAAATCGCACTTTCGGACGTCCGACAGTCACTCGGACTCGAAATGAGGCAAAATAGCGGCATATCTGATCCTATGATGAATGAATCATATAGTGCTGGCTCCAGTTCCTCCAACAGTCACTGAACTGAGGAAACAGTTCGACTCAGAGTCGGACCGAAGACTGATGAGCTTCTGATATGTGCATGAGTGAACTGAGCACTTGAATGAAGGGGTGAAATTAAAGTTTATATGGTTTCTCATAACTTGGTGAGTATATTAAGACTAGTTTATTCACTTTATATGCGTTACACATTTAAAACATCCATGTTTCACCTCATTACTGGGTGTTTAATATAATTGTGCATAGGTTACGTCATTGCGTGATTATGTAAACAAACTGGTGAATCAGTTTTTTGAACCAGAAACAAACTGTCCGAAAGAATCAGTTCACGGAAAAGAATCAGATTTCTCCATTGTCTGATTACAGGTAATAATGTTGTAAATAATGTTCAGTTTCTCACACAGACCGATCGTTTCACTTCATAAGACCTCAATATATTGTTAGGAGCCACAGGTAATTTCGTGTTCCTTGATATGCTTTTTTTTATTTCCAAAATCAGGCAGCCGTTGACTTGCATTTTATGAATCACCAAGGACCACGGTTTCAGCTAAAAATCTTCTTGTTCTACTCAAGAAAAAAAGTCACCTACATCTTGGATGGCCTGAGGGTGAGTAAATTAACAGCAAATGTTCATTTTTGGGTGAACTATTTCTTTAAGGTAAAGACAAGAATATAAATACTGTATCTAAAACTCAAAACTCAAAAATGATAAAGATAAACTTTAAACTTTGACTTGAAAAAGCCTTGTGTGAAAGTGAACAGAGATGGGGAGCTTAAAGGGGTCATATGACGTTGCTAAAAAAGAACATTATTTTGTGTATTTGGTGTAATATTTTTACAAAGCTCATTGGTCTGAAAAAGCGAGGTGTGCTGTGATTGGTCAGCTATTCAGTGCGTTGTGATTGGCCGAATACCTCAAGCGTGTGATGGAAATGTTACGCCCCTTACCATACTGATGCCGTGTCCCGCGCAACAAGACAAAAACAATAAACCCCATTATAAATGAGGCATTTGTTGCATCCAGTGGGGACATAATTACTGATTATAATGACTTATACTGTCTTTTTACACATTGCGTTGCATCGCGCCGCGTAAACATAAAACCATGTCTGCATTTGTGATCGGAGAAACGACAAACAACAAGCGCTACTCTACACTGCTCAAAACTCGCGTTTGAATCATCTGTGGCAAATCCTTTAAATATGAAAGAGTACTTACAGTCTGTGAGTCAGCATTATTTGTCAGAACTTGGGTGAGTAAATTAACAGCAAATGTTCATTTTTGGGTGAACTATTTCTTTAAGGTAAAGACAAGAATATAAATACTGTATCTAAAACTCAAAACTCAAAAATGATAAAGATAAACTTTAAACTTTGACTTGAAAAAGCCTTGTGTGAAAGTGAACAGAGATGGGGAGCTTAAAGGGGTCATATGACGTTGCTAAAAAAGAACATTATTTTGTGTATTTGGTGTAATGAAATGTGTTTATGTGGTTTAAGGTTTATTTTCCACATACTGTACATTTTATAGTTTCTCCTCTATGCCCCGCCTTTCTGAAACGTGTCGATTTTTTCACATAGTGAGGTAGATATGTGGGGCGTGTTAGAACGAGCCGTTTTAGGAGGGCGTGGACGAGTCTTAACTTTTATAAAGAATATCTCTTTGGGTTTGAGACTTTAGTCTTTGCAACTTCAGGGATCTTATCTATGCACAATCAGCTTGTAACACTCCAAAGAGAAAGGAAAACTTGAAATCGCATCATGTGACCCCTTTAAAGGAAGTTTTGAAATGTTTAAGAATGTAGGATGTTGCAATGGTGTTCCAACTGGTTGCAAGAATGTTCTTTGATTTTTCATCAACAATTATGGGAAATCTGTATGTCTGCTTGGGTAGAGAAGTTGCAGCAATATGATTCAGAACAGACAGACACTGTGTTAAGCCAAAATATAAATTTCCGCCCTACCGATTCCTGACACCTGGTTCCAGGCGATGTCCATGGCCAGGTGGGCCATCTTGGGGCCGACGCCCGGCAGACGCATCAGACCCTCCACTGTGTCAGGAATGTCTCCGCCGAACTCCTGCTGGATCAGAGCCGTGGCCTGTTTGATGTACTTCACCTTTTTCTGAGAAGAAGTTTGTGAGTTTTTGATTGCTCTGATTATACATACATGTATTTGAACACATAAGAGTCATTTACCCTCCAGAAGCCCACGGGGTAGATGAGTTTACCCAGAGTCTCATCGTCCAACTCGAGTACGGCGTCCACACTGAGCTCACGCTCACGTAATCTCTGCATAGCGCCAGCCGTCACGTGATCTTTCGTTTGACTGGACAGCATTAAGGAGATCAGCACCTGGTAACGACGCACCTGAGAAAAGAACCGAGAATTTTGATTGGCTGTCAGTTACCTCAGGTGATCTGCGATTGGTTCTCGCTCACCTTAGGCGGGGCCTCGGTGTCGTAGCATTTCCTTGCTCCCATTTGGTCCACGGGCGCATCCCGTTTGCTCCTCATCTCCCTGATGAATGACAGCTGTGTTCTCCAATCACGCGGCTCCCAGCGCTCCCTCTTTAGCTCCGCCCCTTCCTCCTCCTCATACTCCACCTTCACATGGCCCCGCCTTGGTTTTCTAGGTGACGTCAAAGAGGCTTGCTCATCCACTGCTTCTTCTTTCACTTTTGTGGTTGTGTTATTGCAACTTGTCACAGTCTCTGTACAAAAAAAAAAAAACTATTAAAATAATATTAAAACACATGCATAAATTATATAAAAATATATAATTTAATTCATAATTAAATTATAAATTATATAAAATATTTAGAAAAATATTATTTAAAATAGTTTTTAGTTCCACCTGAGCAGTTCGTCTCACCTGCAGGGGTTTCTGCATGTGTTTGCAGTGGAGCATCTGAAATACTCTGCTCGTGATCTTCTGCTTTCACGTTTGGAGAATCATCTTCTGATTTAAGCCCTTGAGCCATTCTGGATCTCAATCTGCGAATTCCTCCTTTATTTACAGCACTTTTCCCCATAGTTTCAGTTGCACAAGTGCCTAATACAGCTACTGAATCGGTGAAATATGGAGAGTTCATTCTTACAGTCAAACGATTGAATATATAAACACATAAATTCCGGACTGGCGCCAACATTAGATGACATTAACTGACTTTATGTCACAAATATAACCTCAGTTTTGCTAAAAACACACCTCCTGAATACAACACCCCTTCCCGTGCTGTCGATACCGATGTCCGACTCCTCAATGAATCATTCGTTTGAACCGGATCTTTTTTTTAATGAATTGTCTGAATCGCAGTGAATGGATCCGAGCGGATATATCATTCGGAATGATGAATCACTGAATCGATTGTTTGAATGGTTTCATCCAAAATGAACTGTTCGAAAGAACCGATTTGCGGAAATGAATCAGACTCTTCAGTTTTATAAGCGATGATCATTTGTAGTTTCTCAACGCCGCCTGCGCTTGTAAAGTGAAGACGCGCTCGCGGCTCTCAGAACTACAATTCCCTGCAGTCATCTGTCACGTGACGTGTTTTTGTAGGAAGTGTATGCCCGTGTATTAAGCATGACTTCCGGGGGGCAGTAAAGGGGGCTGATGAGAGCGGGGGCAGTGCTGTTGGCTGAGACACTGCCTGACAAATACATGCATAAATTGGGAACGATTCAGTTATATCTTTCAGTTATATGTTCTCGATATCATCCCACCTCCATCATCCGCAGAGGGTAAATAACAGTGTGTTTGTTTGTTGCATTGGCTTGTTGTTTATGGATTGATACTGGTATATTTATTTGCGTGCATTTATACGGTTTATTTGGCTTGTTTATTTTCAGGTGTTGTCTCTGTCACAGTCAATTGATCCGCTTTAAAATGCACGCTTTTTTGTGCATGGATTGAACTGAACTGTCACGAGGTGTCAGACGTTTGACTTATTATGTGCATTGTTGTCCTGCCATGTTTTCCTGCTAAAAGAGGCGATATATCAGTCAAATAGACTGTTATTTATGTTAAAGAAGGAGTTGTCAATCTTTTCTGACCCAGGGAGCCACTACCAGACATTCAGAGGCCCTGGTCCCCTCAATATATGTGTAATTTTTCTTTAATTACGTGAGAAATATTAAAAATGTTATTCATATTCGCTTTAGGCTTTGATCATAATTTTAAAAAGACATATTTTTTTGATAGAATATTTTAAAACATACTGAATTCATGACTTATTTGTAATTTTTAAAGAAAATAGTTTACTCAGAAAATATGCTAAAAGACATTTTTAAAAAGGTCTCTCCCGGAAGAATTTTAGAATTTTTATCATTGATTAAATTGAAAGATTCTATATGTTTTCTATCAGTACTGTTGTTGTTACTTGTATGTTTTTGTATAGTGAAGTGATTGCTTCTTAAGAAAATGTTATATTATTGTAAATGATGTACTGAAACGATACTGTTAATGTTGCCATGAATATAGCCATTGTTGCTGATATGGCGTAAAAAAAAAATATATATATATATATATATAATTTAGGATATAAAACCATAAAATATATATATATATACCTATTTAAAATATTTTTTACACTTTTTTTTGTATATATATATATCGGCCTACAGACTGTATGTGCTTTTTTGGATCTCCGGCTCCAGGAGGTTTGAAGTATCTCTCATTCAGTGTCTCTCGCAGGAGTGAAGATGAATAAACAGCCCAGTAAAGAGTCTCTGCGGGACCGATTCAACGGGTTCTTTGGCCTCGGTTCGACTCGGCCCCACAGCAAACAGACCGAGAGCAAACCGTCAGAGTTCATCATCACGCTGGACATCCTGATGGTCAGAAACGCTCCAATCAATCATTCCCATCATCGATATTGTGTTTCTCATGTAATCTCTCTCTTCCTATCCTTCAGCAACTCACTCCAGAGTACAACCTCCACCACCGGATCAGAGTCATCAACCACGTGTGCGACCTCGCCAAATCTAAGAAGTTTGAGGAGGTGAGAGCATGGAGAAGCATCTGCCTGCTCCTGTATGTGCAGATGAGCGGATCTACAGTGTGTTGTGTGTGTTTCAGCATGCGGTGGAGGACGTTTGGAAGGCCGTGGAGGACATGATGCAGCCTGAACAGCCGCCTGAAGCCCGTCATGCAGTGCTGGTGCTGCTGAGAGCCATTATACAGGGACAGGTGCACATTTTGAACACCTTACGAACCACAGTGCAACATGGCGGCTAGGCATGGGCCGATTACCGGTTTCAAGGTATACCGCGATTTAAAAATTTCACGGGTTCAAAACCGCTAATATTTTCCGTTATACCGTTCCTGCGGTATGTGCTGTTTTTCATGTCTCCTCAAAGACTGAAAGTGTAGGAATCCCTCAGGTTGAGTGCAGTGTAGAGAGTAACACGACCCTCCTCCTACTGTTGGTGCGAGCGAGCGGTCAGTCACGTGTGTGTAGGACGGCCGAACTTAAGGAGCTGCCCCTGGAACTTACGTGATCAGCAACCGGCCATTTTTTGTCTTATTGCAAGCAACTCGTCTCTGTTCTGGACTTGCACAAACTG